AAAAAAAAATTGAAATTGAAATAAAATATTTTCGTATGAATAATAGTAATGACTAACTACTAATGGACATATTATTCTTGTTATTTTTTAAATAGATATAATGAYTAATTAATTAAGACAGTTAATGTCTTTCCGTAATTTTTATTTATGTTTTAAAATATCTAAAAATCATCTATGGTTTTAGTTTTAACAACATAATATATAGTTCTACTCAAACAATTTATTATATTTAACTTTTTCTTTTTTCTTTTAGGTAATATCAACAAAGATATATACCTGATCTTTACTATATATATTATATGATTCCAGATATAACTTTATTCGTAGATGAATCTGAGGATAAAAAACTTGTTTAACTTTTTTTTTTGTACTATAGAGAAATAAAGTGGAGTCATTGGATTACATTCAAGTGCATAATCCATCCAAAGAGCTCATGTATTTTTAGTTGAGTTTTTTAAAAACTATTTTCGTTCAAACGCCGCTGAATGATATAATGAAAACTATAAAAGAAAGAATGGGATTTTCTGTTCTAAAATATTATAATCGGCTTTACTGGACAGTCCGGTGCAGGTGGAAAAAAATTAGTTCTGAATTTTAAGCCGGTCTTAGGTGTGAGGATTTTTTTAATTAAATTTTATCTCCATTCCCCACAATTCTCATTACCAGAACTATATTAAAATATGACATATATGCGGATAGTAGGAAATTTTATAACCTAAACTTGCGGACACAGTTAAATTGTTATAAGTTCTGATATCATTATAATGATATTTTTAACACAATCAATGGTCTTCCGTGAATGCAAAACTTCAAATTAATATTGTTGTTGAGCAAAAATCTTAAGCCACTTAGCTGTTAGAAAAATAGTATAGTTTTCATAGGGAATAGGGATCAAAATATAACAAAAAAAAATAATAACGATAAAATAAAGAAAATATTCGATGTGTATTAATAATATAATATAGGCTTGACGAAAAGTCGACCATGATGATGAGTAATGTGAAAAAATATTATTTTAATGGTAGATTATTTTTTTGCACCCTGATAGATAAAAATAATATTTTTATAGAACTATAATATTCTAACGAAAGCAAAATGATTTTTTTTTAACTCACCGACCACTTGCAGATAACCGACTTGACTGATCATCGGGTCGGTGTTAACTTGGCACATGTAAATGCCTTTGTCCGACGCTCTCACGCCGTTGATGTTCAGCAACCACGTTTTCTGGCCGTCGTGAGACATGCTAAACCTTGGTATTCTGGCGATGACATGTTTGTGCACTGTGAGTATCATCTTCCGATCAATGTGGATCCAGGCGACCTGTAAGTCATCGTAATATGTACCACAATGTAAGCTGGCTATAGTCATGTAAATAAGTCCACAGTATGTATCATGCGCTTTATATCRRTATAGCAAAAGTAAGTAGGTATACAAAATTACATTAAAATTAAAATTTATAACGGAAAAATCAAAAGTTACATAACAAGTTCGATGAACTCGACGAGAAAAATATCGCATTACAAATCTACGACGTCGGTGCAAAATAATTGTCACATAATCAGCTGATTCGACGTTAAGTTAAAAATGGGACTTTTATTATCAGTAGTAACTTTTAGTAATTTGCATTCAAAGTACAATAATTTACTATACTAAATAAATATWATATTATGCACAATTTTATCTTCAACATAACATCCTATTAACATACAAAATATATTGACTGTTTACATWGTAGATGTTTAATGAAATAAACACAAATTTCATGACTAGACCAATAAGACAATTAGGCACTACAATTATAATGTATCATGTATTCATAAAATTTGATATTAACTTAATCAATATATATATATTTCTTATTCTACACATGGAACATAATATAATTTTTATTAGATTATAGGATTTTAAGGATTCTAAATCTCATTGGCTCTTCAAAACGTACCTGTAATACAACAATGCACCTATTATAAAAGCAAAGGAACATATTACATAAGTATTCAATTTACTGCTTTGAGAAACAACGTCAGCAAAATTAATTTTCTCGAGATTTTCGTTTTTAGAAAATCAGTATCGATAATATTTTTCGTTAATAGTATAAATATACAATATCGATACTATGTTATTAAACACTCTTTAAACTCAATTATTAAAACCAGAGGATGTTCATTTTAGATGCACAAAAAGTGTTTGCTTATTAATATATATATTTTTTTTAATTTCCAGATGCTTGTAATCTTACACAAAGGCAAAACTCTTTGTAATAAATAAAATTTAAATTTAAGTATACCTTAGAGATAATTTGTTTCTTGCCGAAATGTTGCTGTTGTATTTTTTTTATATATTGTTATTATTACAGGCAATGGAGAAACCTCCTGCCTGCGGCAATTTAATTTGCACACCTTCCCCTTTCTATACTCTCCCGAAAAAAATGTTTCTCTATCTTTTAATTGATTATGTTCACGGGTACTAATAGCGAAGTAAAAGAGCAAAAGGATGTTGGATAATTACTTTTATTAACGAAGCGAAGACTCCAGTGGAAAACCCCATTTCCCACTTTTTAAAACATTTTTATTAAAAATAAGAAATAAGAAAAGAAAATCTGTTGGTAAAATGATGGGTTATTTTAAATTTTTTTACTGGGTGAACATATTTTCTTAGACATTATAATCTAAATGTATTGTTATTAATTTCAAAAAACACAAAAACACTTAAGGATAATTTTAATTGAATCTGTATACAGCACAAATAATCGCACTGAATTTTTGTCCAAAATCCAATCTTAGACCATTATGCCCACACCTTGAGGCACACGAATAGTGTTCTAAGGTTTTATGAAATTTATCATTTTTTAAAAAATTTCATTTTTATGAATAATAAATTTAATAATCTAATTTAAAACTATAGTATAAAGTACACAGTAAACTCAACTAATTAGTTATACCATTGAGTATAGATAGTATACTATCTATACTCAATGGTTATACGTATCTTCAAACATTCAGTGTAAAATGTTATAGAAATATCRCTTAAATTGTACATTATATAAATTACGTAATAATTATCTTATATACATATTATCTGCATCGTGATTGAAAATTAAATATTAATAATCAGTGATTGTTAATCACTAGTCAAGTATAATATCAGTCTGCTCATGTGAGGATTTTATAAAACATTCTGAAAATACAAAATTAAAAAAAAAAAAATTATTTTTCAATATTTCAAAGTAAAACATAGATTTATCTCTATAGTCAAATATTGTATGGTTAAGATCACTTAATTATTATCAATCACATTTTACCTCGAAATTGTCTGTACCCGAATGTGTATAATGATTATATACGCACATTTTACCTATATAATATTATTATCATAATTCTTCTCAGTAATGTTTCGAGTCCTATATAAAACCGAGTTCTTAATATCAAGTAACAAAATGAATTAAGTATTATAGACTTAAAACAAACACACTTCTTTAAATACTAAACTCTTAATTTATAAGTCCTTGTTTAAGCCTATGTGGACCTATGGTCTTCAACTCTGGGGCAATGCCAAAAAATCCAACACTAATAAAATTCAAACCTTCCAAAACAACATCCTTCGTAAAATCACAAATTCTCCTCCTTATATTTCAAACCTAACCTTACAYACCGATMTAAAAATTAAAACAGTCCACGAAGAAGCAGTAACTTTTTACAAGCGTTTCCACTCAAAACTCCCTTCTCATATCAACCCTCT